AAGAAATGTAGACACACATTTTTCATATGGAGAGGAAGTCAAGGCGATATAAAGCAATAAAAGACTAGTTTAAACTTAGAAAAATGGGGTAAATATTAAGGTAACCACAAAGGAAACTAACAATCCTACACATCAAAATAAACAACAAGAAAAATATAAAGACTTGGCAAATACAAAATCAACAACAATGAAAATACATAAAGGAAACCGACTCAGCACAGAAAATTAAGTGGAACCAAGAAACTGTGAACACACAAAAAAGACATCAAAATGACAGCATTAAACTGATACCTATCAATAATTACGCTGAATGTAAATGGACTAAATGTACCAATAAACACACAGAGAGTGGCAGAATGGATTAAAAAAAACATGATCCATCTATATGCTGCCTACAAGAGATACATCTTAGACTTAAAGACACAAACTAAAACTCAAAGGATGGAAAAAAAAAAAAAATCAAGCAAACAACACTCAAAAAACAGAAGGAGTGGCAATATGAATCGCTGACAAAATAGACTTTAAAATCTACCACAAAGGATAAGGAAGGACACTATATAATGATTAAGGATCAATACACCAGGAGGACATAACTATAATAAATATTTACGCACCGAATGACAGGGCTCCAAAATACATAAAACAAACTGTAACAGCATTGAAAAGAGATAGACAGCTCCACAATAATAGTAGGAGACTTCAACACATCACTTTCGGTGAAGGACAGAACACCCAGAAAGAAGCTCAATAAAGACACAGAAGATCTAAATGCTGCAATCAACCAACTTGATCTCATAGACATATACCAAACACTGCATCCAACAGCAGCCAAGTATACTTTCTTTTCCACTGCACATGGAACATTCTCCAGAATAGACCACATATTAGTCCATAGAGCAAGCCTTAACGGAATCTAAAGCATCAAAATATTACAAAGCATCTTTTCTGACCATGAAGCCATAAAAGTAGAAATCAGTAACAGAAAAAGCAAGCAAACAAAATCAAACACATGGAAACTGAACAACACTTTGCTCAAAAACTACTGGGTTAGAGAAGAAAGTAACGATGGAATAAAGAAATTCATAGAATCCAACAAGAACAAAAACACAATCTACCAGAACCTTTGGGACACAGCAAAAGCAGTGCTCAGAGGTCAATTTATAGCAATAAATACACACATCCAAAAAGAAAGGCCAAAATTAAAACATTAACCCTACAACTGGAATAAGTAGAAAGAGAGCATCAAAAGAAGCCCTTGGGCACTAGAAGAAAGGAAATAATAAGAATTAGAGCAGAATTAAATGAAATAGAGAATAGAAAAACAATTGAAAGAGTTA